CAAGCCCATTCCTGCTGCCTCACCCAGACTTGTCTCCTAGGATACCACACTTCTTGGCCACTGTTTCCAGGAGGACTTCTCTATCACACAGGGTTAAACCCCAGACCCTTGTAAGGACCGTAGCAAAACTTACTTCTTTACTGTAAGCAGTTTTTATTTACACACACACACACACACACACACACACACACACACAAACTGCCTGTCAAGAATGATGGATTTCAGGGAGTGTTTAACATGGCCCCCCCTCACCACCTGCTCATCCTTTGGGGCCAGCCATGTAAAGACTCCCTCCACCGCCACCTCCTCCAGTGCAGGGGCCGCCAATTCCAGTGCGGGGGCTCCCTCCCCCATACCTACCTCTGCCTCACAGCAGGGCCCCTGCTCCCCACCGGCTATTGTCATAGTTGGTAGGGTTGGAAGGGACCTGAGCAGATCATCAAGTCCAACCCCCTGCCATGGCAGGAAAGAATGCTGGGGTCAAATGACCCCGGCTAAATGGTTGTCTAGCCTCCTTTTGAAAACCCCCAGGGTAGGAGCGAGCACCATTTCTCTTGGAAGTTGGTTCCAGATCCTAGCCACCCTGACTGTGAAATAGTGCCTCCTGACATCTAGCCTGAATCTACTCTCAGTCAATTTATGGGTGTTATTCCTTGTTACTCCCGGTAGTGCTTGGGGGAACAGGGACTCTCTCATTGCCTTCTGGTCCCCCTTGGCCAGTTTATAGATGGCCTCCAGATCCCCTGTCAGCCTTCTCTTGTGGAGGCTGAACAGGTTCAGGTCTCATAGCCTCTCCTTGTAGGGCCTGCCTTGCTGCCCCCTGATCATGCGAGTGGCCCTCCTCTGGACCCTCTTGATGCTGGCCGCATCCCTCCTGAAGTGCAGCACCCAGACCTGGATGCAATACTCCAACTGCAGCCTGACCAGTGTCGCACAGAGGGGGAGGATCACCTCCTTGGACCCGCTCGTGATGCATCTGTGGATGCATGCCAAGGTGCGGTTAGCCTTCCTGACCATGTACTTGTCACAACCCAAGGGTGTGATTCTGTGTGCGCGCGCTTTGGCACTGCTAAATTATTTCCCGCCACAAGGAGCTTTCTTTGCAGGGTGCATTTCTCAGTTGCAAAGAGAAATGCACGGTGCAAAGGAG